GGGTGAGGGGAAAAGGTAAAGGTTGCAAGTATTTATTGGCAGCACACTGGTAAGATGAAGATAAGTTGGCTAATGCTTGGTGCTTTATTTGGTCCTTCTCCTAGCATGTGGTTACCAGTTCTGTCTATGAATTTCTTTGTTGTTAAAATCTCTTAATCAGCATACTGAACTGTGGCTTTGATATTAAATTGCACCTCCTATTGTTGAAACATATGGGTTGGTAGAATTCTTTCTTTAGTTTCCCTTTCTTCATTTTTTTTTTCTTAAAAATTCTCTGCCTCATTGGCATTGAATGCCAGTTTAAGAAATTAGAATACTGAACAGAGTAATAAAATAATTGACTAAAGTGAAGTCATGTCACATTTGGTAATTGAACTGTGTTGAGGGGCTCCATATGAAACAGATTCCTGAATTAGCATGTGGCATTACAGAAAACTGGAGGTGTCCTTCATCTAAAATTTTGAATCTGGAAGAAAAGGTGGGTGGATTTCTGAGAAAAGATGAAATGACAGAGGTATGTATTTATTAATTTTTCATCAAAATTCACTGGTAATGAACTGTATTGAAGGTCTGTGGTTTGCAACACAACTTTTCAGTTGTGAGTTTGGTTTTGGACTCTTCTTTCTTTGTGTGTTTAGCACCACAAAACTAGGCTACCTTTTCCTGTTCTCAAACAAAATGTGACACAGTTAACATAATCCAGCCAACAATTTAGCTACTTGTTACTTGACTTCTCCATAGTTTTTTATTGTGGAATATCAAATCATTTTTTTCCTGCATTGTTAGATTTTTCCCATCCTTATAGATATTATGTTGGAATTTGTGTGATGCGGTTTGTACTGATAAAAAAATCGTGTTAGATGGTATTTACCTTCTTTTCTTTCACAGCTTTCCAGTAAAAAAAGTAAAATAATCCACTGACCTGTTCAAGTCTGACTGTAATTGGACTGTGCATGACAATGAAACATGTCAAGGATTCTATTTATTCCCCTACAGCAGCTGCTCCTACTTTATTTGAAGTAATTGCTTTTATTTATTAAATGACTTTCACTCAGACTATGAACCTGTTTGTCAATAGTCACAGTTTGTTCACTGCCTGGCCCTTTCTTTAATGGTAATCTCTGATTAGTCACACTGTTCCCAGCCTTTGGAGTTTGTTATGATCTTTTATAGAGGAAAGAGATGGAGGAGGATTGCAGTTATCTGTAAATAATTAGACAGGTGGGCACTTTATGCCAGCTGTGCAAAAAAGGTTTTCAGCATACTAATCAAATGCCAAACATTAGCCATTGTTCTTGAACTCTGTGAGGCTGAATATGAAGAAGGATGCGTTTTGCTATGGCTGTAACTAATAGAGCCATAGACTGATTCCATTTTTTCTGCATGGCTACTTTGTCATTAGTTTAATTTGAAAGAGAGAATAGTAAACCAATTTTTATGGTGACATAGTGGCGTTAAATGGTGAGTTTTATGAAAGACTAATAGAAGTAGTAATAAGACTGTTAATTTTAAATTTTGTAAGAAAACGAGGAAAACAAAGTAGTTAGTTAGAAAGATTTGTTGAAATGAAAGAATATTGTATAAATCTGATTGTTTTTGTGATTGCTTATACAGTTTTTATAAAAAAGATAGGCCTTTTATTAATCTCATTTTAGAAACAAAGTACTCCCAGAAAAGACAGTATTGAGATTTTTCTATGTAATTTTCAATAAATTTTAGGGAACCAGATTTCCCCTTTTTATAAAGAAATATGAAAAATTTCTCAGGAGACTCAAATTTAAGGGAATTCAGTGTATGAATCCATAAAATTTGAAAATATCAGGCCCATTTCAAAAGTGGATTTTCAGAAAGAATCTATCTTTCTTAATAATTCTTCTAGCCTAGTTTCCCTTTCAGGTTATTATACTCTCTACTGTCACAGTGACGTGCTACCAGACTCTTAGTTTGATCATCCTTTATGTCTTTGCCTGTGCTTGGTAACTGCTTGGGGGCCTCTCCTGCAGGGAGAAATGTGTTTGGAGAAGAGGCTAATAAACGAGTCCCATTTTCGTGTCTTGCCCCTCTACAGTATGAGTACTTGTATGTACTTGGACAGGATGCTAAAGCTCCCTTGAGTGAAAAATAGTATAGATGTAATGGGTTAAAAAGGTGATCTCGTGTGAGATGCATTGTGTGAAGAATATATACCACCTCAGGATATATTATGGACCCTCAAAGACAGAGAAGTTTCAGGGAGGCACGGGCCAAACAGATATGCTGAAGAAGTAGATAGTATAGTCCACCAAGGCAGATGTTAAAAGTGAAATAAATGTTCTTGGGAGAAATCAGAGAGCACTGTTTCTGGGGCCCTGCTGAAGAGTGGGGTGAACTGCTGCTGCCACCCACTGTGAGGCTGCACGTCCACATCTTTCAGATAGGATGAGTGATAGGATTATGTCTGACTCCAGAGGGAGAAGGAGATGTCTCGTTGCAGAAGTGTGAACTTGTGAATTGAGGACAACTCTCTTCAGATATGTCGCAAGAGGCTAGGACTTGGACATTTTGTATACATTCAGCAAGACACTTGGAAACAAGTAGTAACTAATCTTATGATATTAAACTATTGGGTATTAGATTATTTTTGAACAGTTGTATCAAGAAGACTAAAAGTTTGTTGTTGTTTCATTTTTTTTCCAAAAGTTTTCTAAACAACTCCTCTAGTACATGGCATTCTGGTTTCGACTGGAATAGAGTTAATTTTTTTCTTAGTAGCTGGTGCAGTGCTGTGTTTTGGATTTAATAGGATAAAAACTTGCACATTTAATATTGAAAGGTAAAAGAATAAAAGCATCTGGGTCTGCTGATGCTATTCCTGTGTTTTATGTGTTCAAAATAATCTGTTAGCTCTCTTCCTTTTCTATCTGAATTTATTAGAATGGTTGGTATTCTATAACAACCTGTGTTTTCTTGCTCTGGGCAGATTTGACTATAATGACACTTTGATAATTTTCTTTTTCTCAAACAACACACTGCTACTGTGAAGAGGCTGCTTAGAGTAGCACCTTCAAACTCAGTCTTCACTTTTCATACATTTGGTTGTGTCTGTTGATTTCACTCATTGACTTCTTTTGTTTCTCCTATTTGCATTGTAAAGGCAACACATAAATCTTTTTTCATTCTGTTCCATTTAAGCCCATTAAAACACTTCTCTGGTGCACTGCCTTGGGCTCTCCTTTGTACTACAGCAAGGCAAGTTTTCTTTCCCATTGTAACCACTACAGATGAGCACAGAAAGCTGAATTTTAAGGTTGAGCAGGTCCAGGGTTTTCACAGGTGTCTTGAATGCTGTTTACAGAAATAGGGAAAAAAAAATCAAGAACTTGTTTTGACCCACAGAATCTTCTCCTGATGGCAGTGACTGTCAAGAAATATGCAGAGTTGGAGAGCGAAGTCACCTCTAAAATGCATTTTTGATTAGTACTTTCATCCTCTCTGTCCCTTCACTTTTTGCCTCATACACTAGTTATTCATAACCTTTGAAACTCACTCAGTTACCACAGCACAGGTGGTAATTCATCTGCTGCACATCACAGAGCGAGAGCAAGCCTCCCTCTAGTGTATACCTGTTATTCTCCCATCTGAAAAGGCAGGAAATTAAGAGAGACTAAGGTAGTCCTGGAATATCTACCTTTGCACTTCTCAAAGACTAGCTGCCGAATTTCACAAACTTTCCTGGGACATGGGTGGTATCAGTTTTGGAAATTAGTAAGGAGTCTGTAACTCGTACAGTTGGCTGCTGTGATTGTTTAAAAGTAAAATGGACATAAAACCCCACTCCAACTAATAAAGCCATCTGCTTTTATTTAAAAACAGAATTGTCTGACTGCACTATGCATTTTTATTGACCAAGTAAACTGGTAGTGACTCTTTTGGCTCAAGCAAAAGTGTGAACACTGTCTCTTCCTCCCACTCCCCTGTCCACTCATCCCATAACTGAGAGGTGAACAACCAACACCAAGTCTCTAAGTTTGGTCTCCAGCTCTTTTTCCCTGCAGGGGAGCTGCCGAGTTGCTCATTGAAGACCTCATGGGGCAGCTGTGCAGGAAAGGTCACATCTACCATCAAGTTGAGAGACTGTTGCCCTTAAGGTTAGAGTCATGGTCTAGAGCTGAGACAAATACAACAGAGAGCTGCTGCTTTGCCCCTGTGTTTGAAGTGCAGAAACAACTGGCTGGATTCTTTGAAAAAAAATATTTTTTTGCATCTGTAATGTTTATCTCAAGTTTTACTGTGTCAAGAATTATTTTATTAAAAGGCTATGTGGTTTCCTTTAATTAATTAATTAATTTATTTATTACCTTTCTTTTCTGGCCATAAGTCAGCTGAGGAATTTAGTTTTCTGATAAAAAGGAGTTTTCTTGAGTCTTTAATAAATAAAGTGGAATTTCTTTAGGGAAATTTCCTTCCTGATTATGATTATATTTACTTTTATGTGTATGTTAGTAGATATACGAGGCAGATGGTAGAAGAATAGTTCTGCAAACTGTGATGTTTACTTCCCACATATTCACGAATTCTTGAAAGATCTTAAATTACATGTTGTAAATTTTGGGGGGAAAATATAGAAAGCTCGTTTGGTTTGCTTCTCCAGAGATGTAGAATCGCTGTCTTAACAAATATAGTCTAGCCCTGAAGTAGCAAGGTTGCCCTTAAATTTCTGTCCAGGGCCCTGGGAGGTGATTGCATTGTGCGGGAACCTTCACGTTGCAGTAACCTCCTGTCACGGATCTTCTTCCTTAAGAAACCAATGTGTGTCAGGGGAGAGGAGGTAGGGACAGAAGGCTGTGTGCATCTTTTGTCAACCTGCAGTTTCTCAGTCTGGTTTTACAGCCTGCTGTGTGCAAATGATAATACAAAAGAGAATAGAGAAACTGGCTTCAGATTTATATATGAAATATAAATAGCTGGCTTGCAGACTTTGGTAAACGTATACATAGATATGGTTGTTTCTCTGTTTTTAGGAATACACTATAGATATAATTTTTGCCCAGACTTGGTATGACAGTCGTCTAAAATTTAACAGCTCAATGAAGGTGCTTATGCTTAATAGCAATATGGTTGGAAAAATTTGGATTCCAGACACTTTCTTCAGGAACTCAAGGAAATCTGATGCTCACTGGATTACAACTCCAAATCGTTTGCTTCGAATCTGGAGTGATGGAAGAGTATTATACACTCTAAGGTGGGTTTTTATTGTCTGGGTAGAAAAAAACCAACAAAATGTTATGACCAGGATTATGAAAATAATGAATATGAATCAAATTCCTGGCATCTCTTTTGTTTTGGACCGAAATTCACAAGGAGTTAACTATAGGAGAAAAAAAGAATTATTTGATCATGAAAAACATGACATTTATAGTATTTATTTATATTACCTGGATAATTGGGTAAAGACAATTGAAGGAGATAGCAAATTTTGATCTCACTCAAGTACAGGCAGGATTTTGAAAAAGATATTATATAACATATAGCACTATGGTGGTCTGTCACTAATATATTGTGCATAAATCATAAATTGTTTTGCAGACTTTCTGTTTTAAATAGTTTGTTATCTGATTTCCACCAAATTATATCCTGTAAGTAAAATTTAAACGCTTTGGATAATAAAAATCATAAGAAGTTCAATTAAAGCTAAGGCCCCAATCCTGCATATAATTCTCAACATTTTTACCCTTCCAAGCTATTAAAATCAACAGATCTGTTCATCCAAATTAGGCATAAGCAAACAAGTTTGTGATAATTCTTCTTGGCAAATGGGAGATGCCTGTGCTGGTTGGTTTTAAGCTTACCATCTAGCTACCTTTACTGATCTTTGAGTCACTTTTCAAACAGTACTTGAAAGGCTGTAGCCTATAGAAAGCATTTTAGGGTCATCTCTCGGTCTAATTTTTTAAATATGCCTAAAAAATCTTGCAATAAGTCAGGAGCTGATCAAGAAATAGTCCATTCAGAGGATGCCATAAATATGATTCTGCTCTTAAGAGTTTATTTATTTATTTATTTATTTAAATAAAGAGTGGCACCATTTAATTACTTTCTTCTCAATCATTTGTGCTGTGTTCATATGCAGGCTAGTTGTGTTGTATGAACAATTTATAAAACTCTTCTCTATCAGATGTAAGAAGAATTAGAATGTTTTAAAAGGATTCTCTTCAATGAATTTTTTTTGTGGTATGATTCATTTGGAGGCATACAGACATCTCTGAAGGGCACTTTTTAAATGGTTTATTAAGCTGATGTTTATAAAAGTCTCTAGAGAGCCTCTTCTGTTGACATGCTATGTTTTTTACCTTTCTCTAGCTGGCATTTGTAGAGTCATACTTGGACTTTATCCTTCCATTGTCTATTCAGTTTCAATGTACAATTTCTTCTAAAGAGGTTCAAAGTAACACAAAGCAATAAATAAATGCAAGCAATAAAGTCCTGCGAGCCCTCACAGAGCAATAGGTTAGAATCACTGTGTTAGAGTATGAGCTATAAAGCACAACGAGCTTGTGACAAAACAGCTGAACAGGTTTTCACCCAGCACTGCAACATGCAAACATCTGTATAGGTGAGGATATGTCCTGAATTTTGCCTAAGGCAGAACAACACTGAGAGGTTCATATGTTGCTTATTGAAGGAACTTTAACATGATCTGACAGTGCTCCAGGTTTGTGGGCTCCCCTTTTTTTCCTTATTGGTAATTCAGAGAGCAGACGTGGTCAATCTGTTAATCAGCCTTACTGAATCTCCTCTGAGGGTAGCCCTTGGTCTGTCCATTGCACACATCAATGATTCCATATTAGTTTTGTTGCTTTTAATAGGGGGCTGGGCTTGTTTTCTTTTTGTTTGAGTGTTTGACTATCCAAAGGTTGAAAATGGAAAACAAAGGCAATAAATGCATATATCATAGTTGGAAAATTTGAAAAGCATCTTCGGAGCAATGCAAGTATTTTGCGTAGAAATGTAAGGGACAGTTTTTCTTCTCTCCCCCCGCCCAGTGTATGCTAAGAAATACACTTTCCCCTATAAATCTCTTTTGGTCAGGTCCTAGTGGCACTTTCTGTAGAATAAATACTTTGTTCAGAGACTTTCAAAGTTTTCTGGCAGTATGTCACAGAATCTTCCTTTTCCCATCCCTTCTTATCTAATATATAAGCATTATGTTAATTTTTAAAGTTCATTTTAGAAGATATTCTGAATTTCTACATAGTCTTACCAACAAAGAAGGAGGTATTTGAAATGCAAAGCAGTCAGTTTGGAGTCTAGTACCTTACTTCAGCTTCCTAGTGAAAGGTAGCGGAGCTGGATTTTGCACTGATTGTTTGGAAGTCCTACAGAAATCTGTGATAGTATTTTCAAAAGCAGCAAGTGATTCAGTTGACACAATCATGAGTCCTAAACCACCTCTAAAATGTTTATAAGTTGTGATTGAATGCCTTAGACATTAAATGAGTAGAACAATCAAGTCTGCTCTTTCCTGTCTATACTACTATCTTCGCCAGAGCTGCTTCCGTGAGTATAGAGCAAGCTCAAGAGTGTCCCCACCTTTTTTTCTCTTATGTGTAGCCACCAGATACAATGATGCCAAATACAATTTGACTCCACAAATGCATTCTACAGAAACTTTATTTGCTATCATAAACTCCCATCCTTCTGCTGTCTTCAGACCCTCCTTTTTATCCCCTATTTCTGGTAGAGCAGAGAGCTGCCCCCAAATCAACTGAAAATTTTGAAATGGCTTGAAATACCAGTTGAAACAACACAGATCCTTAGGTTGCATGTGACAATAGTTCTTGTTATTTTGTTCTTTGGTGATGATGCTGGATGTGTTTTTGTTGATACACAGTAAGCTATTCATAACATCCATTAATTGGCAAAATTTATTTCTGTTCATGTTCTTTACTATGTAGTCTGAAGTATCTGAATGCTTGAATATAACCTTTTTTCTTTTTTTACTCCTTCCTTCTCTAACTAGGCTGACAATTAATGCTGAATGTTATCTTCAGCTTCATAATTTTCCTATGGATGAACACTCCTGTCCTCTGGAGTTTTCAAGCTGTAGGTGGTAAAACACTTTTTTCTCTTTACATTCAGGCTTTAAATTTCCTTAAATTCTGGCATCAGGAGAGCAAATATTTACTTTTTAAAGCCTTGCAATGAAGGAAAGAACTGATCCATTCATGTTTTGGTTAGATTTATTGCATTATTTAATGCAAGAATGAAGGAGTTGAATCACAAGCACTTTGTGCAACTTTAAAAATAGTCGTATTGCTTAGGAGTCTGATGCAATGCCCATTCCAGTTAATGGAAAAGCATCACACTGGAAGAACTTTATTTTTTTTACCTGCAAGATTTGATAATGTTGAATTACTTCCATGTGGTATACTTAAAAGGAAAAATAAGATCTCTCTTCTTCAACCTGCTCCTGTAAATGCTTAATTAGTATAAGAAGTCCTTCTCCTTTCAGTGAGACTTATTTTATGTGAGCTAGAAACATAACTTTCAGGCTCCATTTATTTGATATAAACTATATTTTAAAAAAATTCCCAAGGGAATTGTGCTATTAAAATCATAGAATCCCTAAGGTTGGATAAGACCTCCAGGATCATCAAGTCCAACCTTTGACCAAACACCACCATGTCAACTACACCACAGCACTAAGTGCCACATCCAGTAGTTTCTTGAACGCCTCCAGGAATGGTGACTCTACTACCTCCCTGAGCAACCTGTTCCAGTGCTTAACCACCTTCTCAGTGAAGAAATTCTTCCTGATACCCAGCCCTAACCTCCCCTGATGCAGCTTGAGGCCACTTCCTCTTGTTCTACACTAGTTGCCTGTGAGAAGGGGCTGACCTCCACCTTGCTACAACTTCTTTTCTGGAGGTCTTACCTGAGCCATCAGTAGGAATTTTGTCAAATTATATACTAAAAGTGTCAGTCCTTTTAAGCTCTTTCTGATCATTTAATGGTAATGTAAATTGCATTTGTGTATTAATTTATAACGATGATTCTGAGCCAAGTTTTCATATCGGAGTTCAAGAATATCATGTAGATATTTCCAAAATATTTGTATTTACATAGTTGTTTATCTATCATACATTTAGCTAGGTTTAAAACTGAGGCCAGATATTTTGTTGTTAAATTTTAAGTGTATCAGGTGGACTACAGATTGTCTTTGTCTCTAATCACTTTACGTGTAGCCCTGGTTTAGTTTATAAGTAACTTCAGATATCACAAAACATGCTTGGGTACATTCTGTGGCTGAATGTTTGATTTGTTTTGTTTTGTTCCAGATGGATATCCCAGAAATGAAATTGAATACAAATGGAAGAAAACCTCTGTGGAAGTGGCAGATCCAAAATACTGGAGATTGTATCAGTTTGCATTTGTAGGGTTACGAAACACAACTGAAATTTCTCATACCTTGTCTGGTAAGGCAAAGTGTTGTTTTGTTTTGTGCCAGATCTGTATAGAACAAGATCAGCAGACCAAGATACAACTGAAAACCATATTAAATATAATGTAAATATTTTTTATTTTTCATTTTTAGGTGATTATATTATTATGACAATCTTCTTTGATCTCAGCAGACGTATGGGATATTTTACTATTCAGACATACATTCCTTGTATACTCACAGTTGTTCTTTCATGGGTGTCATTTTGGATCAATAAGGATGCAGTTCCTGCAAGGACTTCTCTGGGTAAGAATGTCTTTTTTTCAGCCTTGAAGGGTCTGGTACTCCCCAAAAATACAAATCTGCAGCATGGAGTAAATCAACCACAGCTTATTCCCCTTCAGATTGTGACTGTTGGTCACTCTTTTTCTTGAACTGCAAGGTTGGGAGTAGAAGAATCCTACTATGGCTGCAGAGCAGGGCTTAAGGAGGGAATGTTGAAGAAGGAAAATCCTTATCCAAGCCCTGTGGATCTGCTGTTGTTCACATAAATACTTTTTTTTCTCCTTCATGTTCTTTTTGTCACCTCCAGGGACTGCAATGTGGCAATTATTAGTCTGACAAGTATGACTTCACTTAGCATCATGGAACAAATGATGTCATTACTACAGGAGTGTAAATTGTGAAGATATGGTTTTGGTGGTTTTTCTTTATTTTTTGTTGGTGTTTTTGTGTTGTTTTTGTTGATGATGGTTTAATAATAGAAAGGATTCAGTTATTCTTTCAAGTCCAGGATAGGACAGAAAATTTGCAACTAGACTTGCAGTTAAGCCTATAACACATAAAAACTGACTCACTGTCCTGCTTTTACTACAGACAGTACTGAAGTGTGTTGCAAATTCCAGTGTAGAGACACTTCTGTGTTCCTGTCATCTTGGCTGACCTGCTTAGCATGGTGTCAGCCTCCTGAGTTTGACCGTTTAGGATTCCTGTGCAGCCTTAGAGAAAAGTTTTAGTCCCCACATAAAGCATGATAGACATGGTGCATGGAGTGCACAGGATGTACATTAGCAACTTTGAGTTTAGAAGTGACAGATGCTTATAGTAAAACTGGTGACAGCAGTATGTCCTATTTTGGGAGAAAGATCAAGAGCTGAGAGTGTATCTTAGGAAGTGAGAGATGTGAGTTAATTTTTCATCATTATTATGCATTATATCATTATTCATTTAGCATTGTGAACACACAATTCACACCTTATAGGATCATTTACTACCAGAAAGGTGAGTCCAGGCTTTAACTCCCTGCCTTTCCCACTGAAAATGGATCACCTGCAAGCCTGCAAGATTAATGAGTCAAGAAAGAAAGTAAGCAGAAATGAGCATGGCTCAGTAGCCTAATGAAAAGGTGAGGGGAGAAAATCTAAGTCTTGGATCCTAACTTTGTTATTCAGAAGTGCTGCAAAGTATAGTGAAGAGACCCCAAAGTTTTAAATAAATAAGTGAAACTAACTTTTGGTAGTTTTAGACCTTGATGTAGAAATCTCTTATCAGATTTCTTTGACTAACTAATCATTGGACATCATTGTGGGTTCTGACTAGCTAGAAGACACTACGTATAACAGGAAAAACTGTTGTACTGGTATCCTGCTAGTTCTGTATCCAGTTTGTTCTTTTTACAGAGTACTTTTTATATGCCATGAACCTAGAAAATTTGCCTTTGATATCACGGTTTAGCTGAAGTTTTCAAGCTCTCACTTCAGCAGTACTATACTTCATCTACTTGAGATGAACTACAAACGTTTGCAATGTCTTATTTACAGCTCCCTGCAGGTAACTCTGAGCTCCTTCTGTGTGAACATGCAAAAGTTTGACAGATTGTAGGATGACTTTTCTTGCGTGCAAATGTTCTGGTGAAGGAGAAAAAGAGTACTTGTCAAATAGACACAATTTTATAGAAAAAGACTGAGAAATTAAGACAAGAAAGGCAAAACTAAGCAAGATCTGTTGTGCTATTGAAGGTTTACTCTCTGTGACAGCCCCCATATATGCCTTTCACATAGCAGAGTGGACTGGGAAAATCCACATCTCTTTTTGTCTTCTCTGAAGAGAAGTTGGTAATAGGGTATGGTGGGTGTGACTTTTCCCCTGGATGCTGTGCTGGGGTCTGGCACAGTGAAAAGGCTTGGGCCTTTTTCTTCCATATATGTTGAAAGATCCTGGCAGATTGTGGTTTCCCAAAGCTAAGGATTTGGGATGATTAAAGGTATTTAGGTATTTAAACACATAGAGAAATGCCTAATTGATTTCCAAAGTATCTAGTGGGAGTGAAGCACTTTTGAAGAACTCTGTGGTTATCTGTTTGCCCTTTTAGGCATGTAATTTCACTGGGAAATCTGTTGCAAAATCACTACTGCCTTCCTGCTGCAGGAGTAGCGACCACAGCGACCACTGATTCCGTGCTTTGATTTATAAGCCGTAGACAGCCATAGACTGGTGTAATGCATTATTTTTTAATTAACCTGTGCATTTAAATAACAAATTTGTGTGTTCAAGTATTGCTCTCCAAAGGAAAGGTCACATCCTAATTTTGGACTATTATGAAAAAGGCTTTGCATTTGTCTGAAAAAACAAATATAAGAAGACAGTGTTAACACCTTATAAATGCTAAACCAGTGAAGAGTGGCATAGTCGAGATTTTGAACATATTGTTATTAAAGCTAGCTGGTTCTTTTAATTAACTTGTATGTAAGTGAATGAAGGAAAACATTTTCTATTACTTAAGACAGAGTATTGAAAACATATCTATTAACTTAGAGTATGATACCAGAAAGGCCATGAAGATCATCTAATTTTATCTACTACATGTCAGAAGCAAATTGAAAACATTTTTCATTTTTCTTATGTTTACCAGTAGTTTGAAATCATTAAAAATTAATGCACCTTTTTTCTGAATGCATCCTTTTTTACCTTTTAAGCTTTCAAAAGCTAGAGTTCTTTCTTGTGTTTGTAAAATATGTGCTTATTTGTACCTGTTTTTCTATTGTATTTGTTTTATATGTACATTTTATGACAGATTTATAAAATTGCACAAACTTTCTCAATATCACTGTTTATTCAGTGTATGTCAAACATAGAAGGGATTTAAAGGGAAGGTGAAATGTACTGCCTTCTCTATGATCCCATGGTGGCTGTTGGATCCATAGGGATGGCTTCTTGCAATAGTATCGTTTCATGTAGGTGTAATCAGTGATGAACCCTGCCGTGGCTCAGTTCCTATATGCCTCATCAATGAATTAAGGGCTAATTTAATGATTTTTTTTCTTACACTATGATTGGATTACTTATACATTTCCTCTTCCTGCTTTTTTTTCTCTCTTTCTTTCTCAAACAGGCATCACAACGGTGCTGACCATGACAACACTGAGTACAATTGCCAGAAAGTCACTCCCAAAGGTTTCCTATGTGACAGCAATGGACCTTTTTGTCTCAGTTTGTTTCATTTTTGTGTTTGCTGCCTTGATGGAATATGGCACCTTGCATTACTTTACCAGCAATAGAAAAGGGGACAAAGGAAAACAAAAGAAGGCAAAATCTAAGCCATCAGTAAGTTTAGTTGAAAAAAAAAAAAGAAATGCAGAATACTTCTTGTTGCAGCATTCATTTTGGAGAGACTGGTTCTTGAGTAGAAAAGCTAAAGTTCAAAGATAATTAACACTAATATTTATTTTGTAATTTTTTTGCAGTTGGGGGTTTGTACTTATTTTCTGTAAATACTACTAATGAGCAAGAGTTTTAAAACATTTCACTCTTATGTGAATGAGAACACATCAACCTAAGATGGAGAGTGGTTTGATATAATACTCCATGCCCTTGTTGCTTCTAGGGCTGCCCATGGGGCTTGTGCCCAGGGAGATGGTTCTGTCTGGGCACAGAGCTTCTAAAAACAGCACCTGGCAATGAACCAGAGAAAAGACTGTAGCAGTAAAGATAATGTAAATGGACTGAAGGTGTGAGGATTTCTTTGGATCTGCATCACCTAACTTGGGTCTTAGAAAGGTTTGCAAAGGAAAAAATGCTTATTATTGGTCAGTATTCTGGCTTCCTTCCACTAGAGAAATTCTACCTTAACTCTTTTAAAAATTTGCTTCCATGTTTCTTCCTGGTTAAATGAACTTTCTGCTTTTACACGTTGATGTTCATATGGTGTAAATCCCCACATGTCTCAGGATCAAGCATTATTCAGTTTTAAGAGGCTTTCTGTTTCTGCAGTAAGAATACTGGAATTTCCAAAGAATCTCTTGACAGGACCTAGTACAGATATTTAAAGGTAGTCTTTAAACTAAGAAAGCATGGAGATAAGTCCATTACATAGCTTATCCATTTGAACATTAGTCTTATTATCTGAGGATTGATTGTAGTCATTTTACAGAGAGAATAAGAACAAGGACAATGTTGTAAATCCCCCTTCCAGATCATTTCCATCAAAGCAAGCAGGAGCATAGATGAATCATAATGCTAGTTGTCTTTTCTGGATGAAGGCTGAATACCACCTGTGTAAGATGAAACAGAAATTGATATGAAATTGCAGAAGCCCGGATATAGAAATACAAAACTCCTATTATGCTATATCCATTCTGCAACTCCTGTCAGGAAGAACTGGTGCACCCATTCTGAAAAGCACTGTTGTGGGAAACTCTTATGGATGCACTGAGGGGCTGCTAGGGCTTAATGCCAGGGAAATGAGAGCCCTTAGGTTTCATATGGTGAGCTGATCAAAGTGGATTAGCTGTGTTTTTAGGACAAGGCTACTGGTGAAGGGTTAGTACTGCCCTGTGCTACCTTGTTCAGACATTGCTGTGATCCTCAGGGAATCCAGCACAGACAAGAGAACAGGAAAATGGAAACCTCAAACCTCCTTCCTGTTAGTGGTACAAACAAATGTGAGCACAATGGAAGGGGCAGAACAGAGGCTTTGGCAAGGGCCGCAGCTGAGCAATGATGGTAAAAGGTAACAGAGGCTGAAGAATGTGGGGGCTTCCCAGCGTTAGCACAGCAGATTCAGTTTCAGGTTGCTGTTGCCATGAGGTCTCAACAACACTCAGTGAACACAATGCTGAATAGGTCTACTTTCAGCATGCACAACACAGAGAAGAGGAAGATGGGAGGAAGTATTGGTTTACCCAAATCAGGGAGATATTAAAGATCAGCTGCTGACAAATCAAAAGACTTTGAAGTAATTTGCAAGTGCACTCATTTGAATGGAGTAATGACACTTTCCAGAATCTGTTCACACATCAACCATTAGTGCAGTAATCTGCCAAGTGCTTTGATATTTCCAGTGCATATGAAAATTTAAAATGTAGAATTATGATGAGATAGAAACTATGAAATTTATTGAATTAATAGCTGGAATTTGAACTAGGACTAAAATTAGCAATATAATGCTCAAAATATTGTTTAGTTGTGGTTTACTGGGTTCTTAAAGCATGATTTTTATTTCTAAGTATTTGAAAAAAAATCTTTTCACACAGAATACTTTAAACATGTTCCAGCATGTTATGGCTATGAGACCATACTAGATACAGAAATTACGCTAAAAAAAGAAAGAATTAAAGTTAATATACTTAGATGCAAGGATTCTAATTTGGTAAATAGGGGGGTTTTGGTGATGTTTTATAAAAAACCATAAAATTTCTTGTTACAAATAAAACAAATAAAGAAGCCCGTCTGATTAGTTAATGAGAAGTCATACAATTACAAATCCTTTACTTATTTCATCCCCCTTTACTTTTGTCAAAGACTTCTATTAATTCTTTTTCTCTTGTAGTTTTGGGTTTGTAAGTCAAAGAAACAATTTAATTTAAAAAGTCCATTTAATTTCTTTTGAAAAGTTCTCATTTACAGGTGTTTTTTGCTTGGAAAACTTGCCTTGTGTAGATCTTCTATTTCTACTGCAAAATGCAATAATAGCCTATTATTATAGGAACTAATGCCAATAAGGCACAATAAATGATCTTGTGAAAAAAATGGTGAGATTTTACAAATGATTACAGCAGTTTTATCTTAGAACATATGTGTTGGCATCATTCAAGAAAGGTAGTGTGAATTGGCTTATGCAAATTCACATTAGTAAAGATAATGAGTTTGGGCAGGAAAGATTAAACTTAATTAGTTGTGGATCTTGTTCTGATCATCATTTCAGCTGAAGTGAATGCATCACCTTAGCTGATCTCCACAGACAATAGCTTTCTTTTGTACATTTATTAGTGTTAATGCAGAATAATTGTGGTTTGATCCTATCAGAATGGATTATAAATTCTTGCCATGATACATGATGTTTTATCTACAATGTCAGGAGGCATGTACATAAAAAATCAGCATGTATTACTGTATCTACATACTGTGGGTGTTTTGTTGGTTTTTTTTTTTAAGTCTCTGCCAATAGATATAGAGTCATTTTCTTGTGAGGTCTTTTTTCTTCTTTTCACTCACATTGCCTCTTCCTTACATGCATTTTATATATTTCCTCTAGGTAGTTAAGCCTATAACATGACCATGTCTGTCAATCTCAAGCTACCTCTTCAAACCTGTAATTCAGTAGCCACCTTCAGTCTGTGCAGGTGACATGAGCAATGAAAAGCAGTACTGTAATTTTTTCCTTCTCCCATGGTGTTTCTGAGTTGGGGATTCCTGTTTTACCCCAGCTGCAGAAACAACTCATGCCATGAATCTTACATGGGCAGAACAAACAGTCAAAAAATTCTTGTAATGCCAGAGTAGGTGTGAATCAGAAATAAGCATCTTTCCCTATTTGTCTTCAATAGAATAATAATTTTTTTCAGTAAAAAAAAATTCAACTTACTTTTTATGTTTTATAAAAGTAAACCCTGTTTGCAATACCTAAAATTAGGATAGAAGTATGTAACTCCTGTTTGTTAGTATTGTCAGTATTTTATCATAACTGAAAAGAATAATGAGGTCCTTTAGGATGATAATTAGCTCCCTAGGTCATCATGTCTAATAAGTATTGAAGCAGCAGTCTGTGTGAAATTTTCTCTGGTAAAGACACTTATTAAATAATGCTGTTTGAAAACGTGGTGGATACTGCACTGCATTAACATCATCCCTTGGGATGCTGGGTAAAATGCCCATGCAGTAATAGAATGCCTCCTTAACAATGTATAGAGATCTGTGTACTGCCCAAAGCAATTCTCATGAAGTGGGACAGCAGATATGAAGTGTATAAAGAAGCTAAATTATGTGGCTTCCCACTTTTCATATTTTTTCATAGATTTGCATTGCCTATCGTGTAATTGGTTAAGAGAACTTATTCTTTACACTTAAATACCCAGTTAGATCTTATCACTGCATCCTTTCCTGCTGTATTTATTCCTTACATGACAAAATATGAAGATGGTAGAAAAGAGAAAGACAGGGTAAGTGTAATGTTATTGTAACCCCTCTCTTTGGTCTGAAGATTTTAGAAGACATACCAAAGATGGGGCAGGGAAAGGGGGAGGAAAGTTGAAAGGAAGAGGATTATGGAGTAGCTTGAAAAGGCCAAGAGATTTAGAAAGAGGAAAGAAAAGGATAGAGAAAGAGAATGTCTTCTGAAACATTCAGGAAAACACGGATGATAAGTAAAGGACTGTGTAGAAACAAAATAATAAAAGAGGAAAGGAGGATTGTGTTAGTGGATGTAAAAGGAAGATGGAAAGGCAAAAGTCACAAGAAAGGGAATAGCAAACACTGTATGTACTTGGTAATAAGGCACTCAGATTTTTTTCTATGAGAATTATTAACATCTATTACACTGTTTTTGTCAGATTGCAAGAGGGTTGTTGTGCCCACAGAAAAATGAAAGTAAGAATTAAGAGCTGAACTAATCAGTTTCAGTGACTTGAGTGACATTCTCTTAAGGACTTGTGTCTTGGATTATAAAGGTAGGGGAATATTGTTTAAGGATGTAACATCAGAGGATTAGATGACATAGCCTTATGTGTTTCAGTCTGTTAAACTTCACCACTGGTGCTGTGCCTATCTCATTAGCTTTTTTCTGTTTTTGAAAATGTAGTTTCCAGAAACATATCCAGTCTCATTCCAAACGTTCCAAATGATAGGAGAACCATCATTCCTTTGGTAGCGATGATTATAGATAGCTTGTGGACGTGTGACCCAATTGTCAAGCAGTGACTGACTTAAAAATGTTTGTCTGTGTTGTATAGATGGGATCAACTAACTCTGTCTATGTAACTAATTATCTACTATTCCCAAATTACAGCACAACCCAGTTTTCACTGTGGTGGGTGAAAATCATTCATGATCTTTTGCCTTCATGAGCTAATTATATACAGCAGTTCATAATTTGCTGTTTTCTTTAATACTAGAATTTCTGTATATTAGAATTTCTGTATATTGTACTGAGCATGATTATGATGCTGTGGAAAGCCTATGGAATTATTTAATATGAGGATAAAAATGCACAAAACTGTATTTTTCTTTTTTTTTTCCTTAAGAAACCACCTGCAATCGCTGTTCGACCTGGATCAACACTAATTCCAATTAATAACATTAATCATCTCCCTGAACGTGATGATGATTATGGATATGAGTGCCTTGAAGGAAAAGACTGTGCTAGCTTCTTTTGTTGTTTTGAAGACTGCCGCACAGGATCTTGGCGAGAAGGAAGAATACACATCCGTATTGCAAAAATTGACTCCTATTCTCGAATATTCTTTCCTACTGCCTTTGCATTATTCAATCTTGTTTATTGGATTGGCTATCTTTATCTATAAATTTCAGATTTGACAAACTCAGAAAAAAAATTCTAATTGAATAGTCATTAATACTTTTAACTGAGCAATCAAAGATTACAGTTGGTCCAAAATTACTTAAATTGTAATGCTTTAAAAATTCGAAACAATGAGAGGAAATATGATGACGTAGTCTCCCTCTTGTGATCAACTATAGAACTGATAGTGGTATTTTGAAGAGAAAATTTAAAAATAAGATTTATCTTTCCTTAACACACATACACACAGTTTTTTCCAGCTATAAGAAAATGCGGAGTCAAGAGGCTATGTTATTTAACTGGACAGTTCTACATAAGCTTTCAGTTTTAATCCTTAACGATAATGTAGAAGGATTTTTGTAGCATCTCTTACACCTTTACAAAGAAAGCCTTAATAAAGTGGGATTAGTTAGTCTCATCCATTTCATCCATAAGGTGATGATTTTATTAATCCCTGATTTTAAAAAGTTGAAATGTAACATTTCCCTTTTCAATCTGCAGTATTTTAAAAAGCGTGATTAAGTCATAATTAATCAATTCAGATTTATACAGAATGCAAATGTTAGAGCAGCAAGAAATGGATATATCAAAACACCCAAGGGTAATTCTGAGCTTGTCTTATCCTGACTGTTGATAGAGGCTTTTGGCTTTCAGCCTTAGATTACGTTTATGTCTGTGCTTAATCTCCTGTTTCTTCACTGTTGTGAGTTCCCGGAAGTTGTCCAAGAGGGCTACAACTTTCAAAAATTCTTACCCAGCTGCCATTGCTTGCTGATTTAATGGAAAACAGACTGGTGTTGGCTGAGATTCTGAGCATTAAACACAACACTCTTCACATCCTCTCATTTGTCTGATTCATACTCAGCGCCAGAGAAAAATGCGTACCTCTACTCTTGGCAGAATTTGTATCAGCAGAGTTTGGAAAACCTGTAACAGCGTTGTAGTCACTGTACTCAAAGCCACTGTGTTAAATCTCCAGTCTTGAGAGTGTAGTGTGTGATCTGCTCCACTGTGCATATAGTATGATTCTGTTTGTTACTGCATATGCTGCTCACTGAGCCAAAGCCAAGTGGTATTAATTTACTGAGCCTGTGGTATGGATTGCTGGGTAATTACCTTCTTGGTATTAGTTTGTTTCTAATGGATAAGTCATGTTATGGAGAGGGAGTTAAAATATCCTTATTCATTGTAGATCCTTCTCCATTGATGCATCCCCCCAAAAAATCATAGGACCAGTTCTTCATCCTTTCTGTGGCCAGAGCTTTTCATCACTTTGGTAGCAATTCTTCAGTAGTAGCCTTTCTGGACTGCCTTCTCTGTGTTGACTGTTGCTGACTGGCAGCATTTGGTATCTCATTTCTATTTCTAAATCCATTGTCTTCATTATGGAAAAGTGCAGTCTTTCCTCCATTCTCGAAAAGAAACCAGTCTCAAGTGAGCTTGCAAAAATCACTGTAAAATGAAGATATGCATTAACTAAAAGTCAGCATTACACCGAAGACCTTACAGATCTTTAAAGAGGATTAATGGGATTAGCATTTGGCTGTAGGTAAGGATTTTCAGTACTAAAGATAAAGACATGATTAATAGCTAAGAATAGAAAATGTTACATGAAAAGCCCACTCCCAATATTTCTGTTAAATGTGCTCCCTCCTCTGAATTTCTCAGAAAAGATTAATGTATATTTATATTTTAGTTTGTACCAGGCATAATAAGATATGATATGCAATACGCATTTCAGAGGAAATGCTACTGTTGTGTTCGACCCCAAAGTGTAATAGAAAATGCAAGACTGTGCAGTCATATTGAAAAGAAGTATGAAAGAAGATCCAATTTTAATGAAAAATTTATTTCAGTATTTAGCTGATGAAATATAGGAGTGGTTGAGAGAATCTGAAGGCCCACTCTCAAGGATGGCTGACATTGTTTGTTGTGTGACCTTTCCAAGTACCAACTTCTGACTGGTAGACTAAGCATAGCAATGTGGCATGATTATCAGCTCTGATTTGCTATAATTTATTGGTTTTTAGAGTCTCACTTTCAGAAAATGTTCAGTCCAATGGAAACATGTCAGTTTTAATTCCATAATGTAATTTGATGCTTTTTGACAGCACATTAAACACATTCTTCTGTAGGAGGTATGAAGGTGGCGTCAGTAGCACGTTGGATGTGTACTTGAAAAGTAGTCAGCTTGCTACACAATACAAGATATAGATTTTGTGAGCCCCTGAGTTTCATTAATTCACCTTTAAACAAAAGAAACTTGAAAGAACTTGGCACTTCACTAGAGGAAATACAAATTTCACAGCCTGCTCTCCTCTGGCACATCTAGTTAGCTTTTTCTATTCATGTGGTTGTCAGTTGCCAATCAGCCTCCAGTGACTGAATTGGAGAACAGAAAACATCCAGAATTGGCAAGGGATGGATAAGAAGCCTTTCATCTCTAATTTCTATGAAACAATGTAATGGAGTATTAAACCTATTGAATGTTATGGCTGTTTGGCTTATGGATACACTTGCTTCTGTCTGTTGACAAACTTTTCTGTGTACTTCATTTGTTTCTGATGAAATAATTTTAGTTTCCCATAGTACTGTGAGTGCAAATAGAAACGGAATGTAGTGAACTGTAACCTGGCATGTAATAAATGTGTTATTTTAGTCCTATGTGTTTTCTTTCTAATCTGCATGTAAGCACTTGATTCCCAGAAATCTAAGTAATACTCAAAAAAATGACAAGGATCAGACACTATAATTACTTGGACCTAGATGCTGCAATCATTTTTCAAACTTACGCAGATAAAAGTTTGTTTAATGTTAGCTGGGATCATAGTATTTTGGAGTCATATTATTCTGACCATCATTGCAGAAGCACATGCTTAAAACTAGTCCTAGCCAGTACTGTTATTAGACCAGAATTCAGAAAAGTGAGTGCTTATGTACTGTCATAAATAGTGATGCTATCGTGAATTGAGGCCATTAACACATGCTTAATTTGCACTAATTTCAATAATGAGTGTTCAGTAGCTTAAATAATTGAACACTAAGGATGTGAACCAGAACCTTTTTCAGTAAGAGATTTTCTCACTGAAAGAGGGGGACTTAAGAGGAGAAATTGCCATAAAGGTAGAGAGGCGAAAAATTCTGGGGAAGCTGTTTTATACTGCACCTATCTTAGGCATTTCTTGAAATGTATTTTTCAAAAAAGAGATTTTTCCTTGATATTTCTGTATTAGTGTTTACCACTTGTCTGTTTAAGTAGTGAGTACAGATCAACGTGTTATTTTTTGGTAAGGTTCTGTCTATGATTGTACCTCACTGATCTTCAGTGCATGTCTTTTGTGTCTGAGTGAATCTGTTTTATGTAGTGGCAGTGCAACCAAAGCATGAGCTCTGGGTAACGCATTTTATATTCACATGTTGATATGCTTCAAAGACTTTAACCTTATCCAGTTTTCTGACATTCAGAGATATGGGATTGTGTAAGACTTTGAAGGAGAATCACCTCCAACATGGTTTTTATAATTTTCTGTTGTTTATCTGGTATGATAGTAAAAACAGTTGTTTAAAATTGATATATGAAGTGTCCTTTGTAATTTGTGAACACCTTTAACCTTACAATTGAAAACCCAACAGGAGGAGTCTGGATTTAAATATCTATTTGCCTAAAGTAAAACATGTTTTCTCAATTGTATTGGTCATCATTTCAGTTTACTGTTCCAAATAGCTGAGAACTAGGGCAAATAAATTTTTTAAAAAATTGATTGTTAATGTAATTATTTTTAAAAATTGATCGTAGTTTCAGTTATACATTAGATATGATCTTTTATGTTTGTGAACCAATACTGTATCTTTTAGTCATTATAATGGATACTAATGTAGAATTCCTCAGCTGAAAAACAAAAAGCCAGGAATTAGAAATAATTACTGTGCTTTCATTCCTGAAAAAGCTCAGTGATGTCCACATGCCCCAATGAATTTGCTGACAGGGGGGAGAGACTGACTTAGACAGAGAGGTAAAATAGTCTCCAGGCTGTAGAAAAGGCCTTTGCATTGGTTCATGCCGTGGATTTGCTACCCAAGTGGTTCAAATTGACGAAAGTGATCTCTGGCTTCTGATTCATTTCTATCAGAAACAGTAGTTGTAATGCTGTGTTACCAGATGAATCAAAACCTGAAAAATCATCTTAGTAAGTTAGTGTTTCAGCCAGATTGGTGGGATCATCTGACTGAAGCTGCAAGACTATGACGAAATTTTGCTCCAAGACAGGTGATGGGAGCTTGCAGCTAAAGGCAAAAGGATGCCTTCTTATGATAGGCATATTTCATTCAGCTGAAAATCTGCTCTGAAAACTGGTGAGGAAGAAAGGAAAAGATGGGATGAGGTAAAGATTGATGGTGGCAGTGATCCCAGAATCAAGTTGCATGGAACTGAGTAAGTTATATTTAGTTAATAGATTTCTCAGTGGAATTTGTGATAATGCTCTTGATTTCCCTGCAACATAATTAAGTACTTTTAATATTAAAAAAAAAAGATAATACTGTGCATTTCCTATACATTAATTACAGACTGAATGAGCAATAAAAAATTGTCTTGAGTGATCATAATGTCAGACAGAAAAACTGAGATCAGGTTAGATCAGCAAAAGATCATCTTTTTTCCTCCTTTTTTTATTAATGATAAACTGTTTTTAAAATTAAGGAGTACTAATTCTCGGAAAGGCCTAGTACCCAGGTATCTACACTGCTGTAAGTCCCTTTGAGGGCTAAAAAAATTTGGGAATGGAAACTTGTCTCAGACTGCTTTCAGTCATTGAATCAGAGAGTGGGTAAGGTGGATTATGATCATGCCAGGCATGAACTAGGATAGCTGGTGTACCCCAGGGAGATTGGTAACAGTTTCTGGTTAAAAGGGTGATTTCTGCCTGAGAGACTATAATTTGAAACAGGGTATGTGCTTCCCTTCAGAAGATGGATCTGTGCTGTTATTTCCAGAATGATGGAAAAGCATCCCTGTCCTTAATGTTTGTCTTTGCACAGGAACAGATTCATTGAGATGATTGTCCTGCTATGAAGCTCTGAGGTATTCCCCATGTAGAGTATAGGAGAAGAGTTTTGGTTGCACTCCTGGGCAAGGTCTCTAAATCATGTCATAGGGCTCAGTATTGTGGTTCTTGAGCTGCCTTTTGGATCTGTTACAATGCTAGTGAAAAGTCAGTAAATAATAAACTTTTGATTTTACTTACTGGTAAATCTCACTGGGAAAGCCAGAGAACTAACAAAGGCTTTAGAGGAAATCTTAGGAGGCAGGAGAGTGGCTAAAAGTGATATCCCTTTTTACCAGAGATGGGTCTTGTTCACTAGCAATATATTGTTTCTAAAAAAACTGTAAAAGCTTCATGGTATTTTAAGGGGGAAAAATGATATGTAAAATTCTCATTCCCCTTCCCACTGACAAAACGTGCTTTGCCTGCAGATTTTGCTTATGGTACATCAACATCACTTGAGCTGTGTGAGGAGAGCTACGGGGATGAAAGACGACCTGTAAACTGTTCTACCTTGTTCTTTCTCAGTTCCTTTTCTTAGTCAAGAAAAAAGAGGTTCAGAAGAGTAGGCGTGTGGCATGTGTAAATGAGGACAATTTTGCTACTGACAACAGAGGCTGAGTCCCACTATCTGACAGAATCGAGAGGGATGAAACTCTACTTGCAGTAATAAGGCTTCTCTTTTGTAATTCTTTGTAGAAGCTACTTTTCCATACATCGCTGCATGCCTACCTGAGACTCAAAAATGTTTCAGGTTGGAAGCAATTCTTTTATGTGTTTCTGGCTTCACAGAATGATCTTTACCATAAGGGTTTGAGCCTTGCTGAATTCAAAAAGAAAGGTTTCTTCTTGAAGTTTCCTTGTCCAGGCATTGCAGGTAGGAGATGTCTTGCTGCCAAACATTGGAAAAGTGATTTTCAGTTGATCCTGCTGAAAAGGCGCTGTAGGGTGGCATTGGGATTCCTTCGTCATTTAGACTTCAGAAGGCTAAATTCTGTTAACAGCAATGACCAGTACTGCCTGAACAGAAGATAAATTACTTTTGCCAATTAAATATTTCTAAACAAACCCCAAAACTGGCACTGTGGGTAGGAAATGAGGATGAGTCATTATTTCACTTCAGGTATATATTTCCCCTTGAATTGTTTTTCCTTCTTAGGAAGATGGTATATAGGAGTCTTTTGACTTGTGAAATACATAGAAAATAGATGATGGTAATTTTAAACAGGTAAAGTCATGTTAGTCCCTCTGCCTCCTGATGACATAGGAGTAGTAACAATGAAGGTACTTGCCCTAGGGCTCAGATTTTCCAAGGCAGATAAATGTAGACATTTGTATATTCATAGGCCCAGTATTAGTATACGATCTATGTTCATGCTTTAGTCATTAAAAAAAAGCTTTTATGATTTTTGCATCTTCACAGTATCCTTTATATTTCTCACTCTTCTCCACTGTGAATGCTTAGACTTTTTGTCTGAACATGAAAGGTTATGTCATTTTACCTTTAAATACAGTTTCAGTTGCTATAGAATATAAATACTTCCTTAAATGAAAATGAGGAATCAGAATCTGGCAACCTCATGGTGATTCTTACACTGAAAAATCTAATATTTATTTTTAATTACCATTTCAATTAAACAAATAATGCTGCTATAGTTTGTATTCCCCTTCATTGACATTTTATAAACAATTAAAATTCATGGTCTAAACCCAGAATTTAGAGAAATATCCTTCAAAAATAACACTCGTTGATTTGTTATGTCTCTCAGTGTTTATTATATTGAATTTCCAGTATTCAAATACACTCCTAATGCAAATCTCTGTCTTGGTATCTACAGTTCACACAGTGTTTCGGTGACTCAGACTTTGCCCCTTAC